TATAGGGCATCTGTGAGTCACCTTTTATCGCGAGATGCCTATAGAAACGCGCATGTGACGATGCTTAAATCACGTTATGGTGGAATATCCTGGGTCTAAAGCAAAACAAGAGAAAGTGATCCAAGGGAATCGTCCATTGCGATGATCAACGATCACTCGTATCGCATGGTCCAACTATTTGCGACACCTGCGACCTTTAACTTGTATGTCCCATCCATTCCCACTCGCTGGAGTGCGGTGGTCAAGTGTCTGCAGCATGGATAGTTTGCCTGCTACCTGCGACATTCTGCAGGCAAGGCGAGCTGTCCACAGATCTGTTGACAGCTGAGCCTGGTGCAGTGGCAAGGCCGCAGTGTCGTGTGTCCAGGCTTTGTTGGGCCGGTTTCAAATGCCAGCGTGCGAGTCTTATCTTCAATGCCATCGATGCTGGTCCCCATTGTTTCAGTTCTGGTGCACATCCTGTGTGAGTGCGTCATCGGGGCCCGCGTAAGACACCATGAACTTGCAGCCGTTTCTGGAACATCTTGAGCGCCTTTACGACTTCTTCAGCTAGAAATTTCAATTCCCTTCGCCTTTGCTTCCCGCTGGCATTTTTGCCACCTGAGTCAAGTCAAGCTCATTTTTCACCCGTCCCTAAACGAGTACGGCGCCTTTACTGGCTGCGGTCTCCATCAGGACAGTGACACCAATGACGTAATGACGTGGGTGCTTAAATAATTCAAATGAGTAAAGCGTTTGGTGTGTCTCCTTGTCAGGGGCTGAGCTCCGCTGACCATGCAGAATGAATTTTCGGGTGCGGAAGTGATACCTCCCGACAGCTTCCACGTCAAGCAGACCTCTTGCACATTGCAACGCTCCAGAGAAAATGCACAAGCCTTAGCGGTAGCCGTTTTGTCGGGCCGCAAGGCTGCGCTCACATCCGGGAACGCCGGTGGTCCGCGTCCTCATGCTACGTTCTTCGGTTGGCTGGCCCTTGGATTGTTTTCTTGTGGTTTGCATGATGGTCAAGTCATGTGTGGTGGTTAGTGGGTTGACATTGCATCCAGATCCCAGAACTCAGAACTCAGAAAGGAAGTGTTCTCCCAGCGTGATACTCCATGCCCATAAGGCCAAGGAGTAGGGTAAATAATGAGTAATGCATATATATATATATATATATATATATATATATATATATATATATACGTATATTTGACTATAACTGAGTTAAGCTAATAGCAGACAACGTCACACATGGTAACTGACGGAAAATTGACGACATTGCACAAGTTGTTTAGGGGCTTAAAGTGAACGTTTGCTTTCTGTATTATTGGAAACAACAGGGATGAAACAGATCGTGTTCTGGCCCAGGTCAAGTTGACGTCACTATCACACCAGGACTGTGCAGCGACTGTCCAACCGGAGCGCGCGTGGCGGACCGACATTGTTACATTAATGGAGGGGGGGAGCATGGGGGTGCCTGGAATCGGCGGGATAAGTTTTGAGATTAGCATTGTGTTTGTGGTGTTACATGGCAAGACGCGACCAATATGCCTCTGGGAGACCCCAGTTCTCAAGAAACTCCCTCACCCCCGCACACAGGCTATAATTTTTTACTGAGCGTTATTTGAATCGTTGAAGCTGTTAAGCTCCCCCATTTAGCTCTGAAATCGTGCCTTTCTGACTCATTTAACAGCATGCTTTTCTTTCTGCAATCAATCTTTGTGTGGTCATATATATACATACAGATATAGATATAGATTTATGTATATATATATATATATATACGCAAAGTATGGTGTCGTAAACACACCCAGCAAAGTGTAAAAAAGCCTACAAAATATAGATAAGTACGTTCACTGAGTTGATTTTGTCCAACGCAAAGTTGAGCTCTGGAAGCATAATTGGGTACAGCGCCTTTCGGCGCTCTTATGCACGTTCGTTCATCACTTCCCTCTCAGATCCCTCGGAGATAATATAGACATGAAGCTGGTCTAATTTGCAGGAGACGTTTGTTCCCATCTTTTAACACGCGCTCGGGCGCGTGGTCAAATTGCGCCCCCCCCCCCCCCCATCGAGAGTTTTCCCGGAATGATTTCTGAAATGTGCGGCGTAGCCGCGTCAAATATTGCATGGCTGTAGCAAATCGAATAGCGAACGGTGTGGTACCAAAAAATGGATGTACCTCGTAAGGTCGCTGACCTACGGCAGGTCAAAGTCAGGCCATGGATTCAGCGAAGTCAATTTCAAGGGAACCGTTCAATCTGATGGAGCAACGGAGTGTTGGACAAAGCCATACATCTCTGAGATACTTTCTTTAGCAACACAATGATTGGATGACCAAATTCCGTTGACCTAGGGTCAGATGTGAAGATCAGACCAAAGTCAAGATTAGCCTGTTTTGTTACTCCAGGGCTTGCTGTGTGTGTGGGGGGGGGGGGGGGGGGGTTCTGGCGCTCATCTCAAATTTATTGATGACAGGAAGCGCATTAAATGAACTTTTGGTCTTTTTGGACTTTTAAGAGGTCAGAATATGTCACTGACCTAAAATGACCGAGGTCAGCATTTTGTTTTAAAGAACATACTTACATAAAGCTTTATCGTTGTCGCTCATTCAAATGTAAAACTCAAAGCGGTCTTCCATGATTTGGTCACCATGACTTTCGAAAGGTCAAACAAGATCATTTACCTTGAATGAGCATGTGACCTTTTGCTTAGAATAGGTATCTAGGTTCTGAGGACACTGGAGATCAACTTTGAGTTTGGCCTTGTTTTATCTTATTTGACCCGAAGGTCATGGCCTAGGAGGATCACACGTTGACCCAGGTGAGTTCACGTACAGGCCAACACACCCTGTGAATTTTGTGCCAGACCCTCTTATTTCCTGATATCTCGGGGGGTCAAACTGACCCCCTCACCCAAGAGAAGGGTATCCAACCGGTCACAAGGGCGCGTGTTAATGCCCGCAATATCGTCTCCGTAACTTAACTGGCTAGAACGCCATACTCCCATCCTACCCGTGACATAGCGGATGGGTGGGTGTAGGCAGTGTCAGCGGTCACCAAAGGTCAGATGAGGTTAGAGGCCGGGTGGACCGTGCCGAACAGTGCTGCGTGTTAAACTTTCGTCACAAAACTGCCGTTGAACTGGAATGGCACGATCCGACTGTGTGGTCAGGGTTTCTACGAAGAGTACTGTTTGGCGTGAGCTCTGATCCCATAAATCCACCCAACCAAAAGGTCGGCATGTATATATATATATATATATATATATATATATGAATAAATGAATAGATATCGGTAACATAAAAGCTGCTTACGCTACATCAGGAAATATTTCAGGAAATAACGGGATTGAACAAGTCGCTCTGAAATGAGTCAGCCTCCATGGCCTTCGACATACTGTCTACAGACAATCTGTCACGGTTCTGGTCATTGGGTGGTATTGTGTCGAAACCAGCAGAGACAGGCTAGCTTTCCGTAGTGAGAACAATCAGCCAACATGGTTAGCTTAACATATGAATCAGCATCACATTTAAGGCAAGCTCGAGCCCCGACCCAAGCGCTGGAGACTTTAACGTCTGATTTTTAACGTCTTTAACGTCTGAACCTGATCTCCACGTGCTGAAACATCGTCGGTCTGCCCGCTAAAAATGGGATTCCTTCATTTTACTATTTGTTGAAAGAAAACACCAACTGAGGTAAGCGGTGTTGGCCATTGAATGTACCTTGGAATGTTGGACCTTTTTTGGAGAGGCTAGGCCGTTCACAGCAGGTTAGCGCCTGCACAGTGCCAGGCTTCATGGGCGAGGGCTACATACATCGTGCTGTGGCGTTTAGTCAAATTCTCCCAAACAATGGGGAACGGGGTTTGGTGCGTTTAAGCGGATAGGCGACGGCCTTAATTTTGTGATGGTGTCAGATGAATGGAAACAATACAGCTCCGTTAGGTGCATTAATTGGCCACTTGTAGTAACTACAATACAGTTAGTAAGAATGAAAAATGTTGTGTATTATGATATAATATGCGTGCAATGTGGTAAAATAATGAATATAGAGCTAACAAGCCTGTAATTTCTATAGGTCTTGTTGATTGTCACATTACTTTCCAAAATGTTCTTAATTTTAGAAACCCGCTTCCTTGACATCGCCGTTCACGTGAGACATTGCAAGAGCAGTCCTCCGATTCAACAAAGCCAATACCAAAGCGGCAATCCTGACGGCGACCGAATGCAAAAAAAAATCGTATTCTTATAGCCATGACAGGGACTCAAAACATGAGCCATACTTGAAAAGCGAGCCATGGGACCCGGAGGCGTTGCCTGTCCCGAGGCTCAGCGGCGGCATCACAAGGCCAGAGCCCTTCTACAGCGAGCGGGCGCGGCGGCGTGTCTATAACAGGCGGCGGGCGGCCGGCGGCCGGCCAGAGCCTGCGGCACTCCCCCGGCGGCAACAGCGTCCCGGCCGGCTCCACACGTCACTCCCACTATGGACCTGGCAAGCTGGCGTCTGCTCGCCCTGCTGACGACGCTGGCCGCGGCCGGCGCCGCCGCCGACAAGGACAAGCCGGCGGCCAAGGAAGAGAAGAAGGAGAAGGCTCTGCCAACCAGTGCGCTGGTGGAGCCGCGCTGGAGCTGGGCTGACGGCGCCGGAGCTGAGCAGCAGTGCCCACCGCCCGAGTACTTCTACACCAGCTGCCACATGTCCACCAGCTTCACCTCCTACCGCGAGCTCCATCCGCAGTACCACCTGCAGCACGACACGCACTTCAAGCCCATCTCTGGCCCGGCGCGTCGGCCGGTCCTCCCCGTGCCGCGTCAGCCGGCCCTCCCCCTGCCGCGTCAGCCGGCCCTCCCCCTGCCGCGGCCGCGGCCCACTCTCGTCACGTTCGTGGCCGAGGAGGCCAGCAAGCGCGGCTACTACGACCCCTGGGTCTCGGCCGGTCGCGACCGCGCCGTCGGTCGGCCCCGCGGCCAGCCCGGCAGGGTGCGGCCGGCATGGCGGGCGCCCGGCGTCCTGGACGACTCGCTGGATGGCTGGAAACAGAGTAAGTCCGCGGCTCTCCGCAAGGCAGGGGTTTGCTCCACGCTCCTGGGTCCCCCCAAAATCCGGGACACCATAACCTGTAAATTCAGGAGGCTAGGAACCCGATGATGCCAGATACTCACGGCCATTTGGTTCAAAGCCCATACGGTGGCACGCGGTACGCGCCAAGCATGTCGGACCCGAAGTTTAACAAGCATGGGTATAGGAGATTATTGAACTTTCATAGCTATGGTTAAATTTTCGAGCAAATAAGACCATAATGACTTTAGTAATGAGCACGTGGTTTGTTTTAAGTTTCGGATACCGAAGGAATTCGAAGAGGCAATCGAGGCGCAGGCAAATCGCGTTGCAGTCTTTTCTCCGTTCTTGTTTACGAACTGTTGCACATCTTTTAACGACCGTGTTTTCGACTTCCCTGGCCGCTGGACGATATGTATTCACCAACGGTGTTAGTAGACCGTCGGCACGGTTGGAAGGGTAGGGTAAAGAACGGCAGCCGCACCCCATGTCACACCAAACGCGCTGATTGACCACTGACGCCATTGACACATGTGCAGCCCCATTTGTGCACAATGCGCGCGACATTTTGTCAACGCCGTTCCCAAAAGGAAAGCTGTGTCAGATATTTCGCGTCCCAGACCAATCCAATAGTTCACGTTATGACATTCTTAAGGGCGTCTGAGGCATTACAGATCTCTATACGATAGCGATGTCTTTGTACAAGAAAGTAGAAGCAGATTTAAGGGGTTTGGAGGCAAGTTCATGTGGGGGAGGCTAATGTGTGACGTCAAAGCAAAATGAACTGTCATGATTTAGTGGGGGTGTTTGGCAAGGGGAGTTTTGGGGCGTTTGGCAAGGGGAGTTTTGGGATGTTCGGCAAGATTTGGTATCTCAATGGGATTAAGTTATTTGATATTCTGTTACCCTCCAAAGTGTCTTCTCCACCCAATTCCAATCGGACTTACGTAGCAGAAGGTGATATTGGGGCTGGGAATACAACGACTTCGATAGGCTCAACCAGTCTTGGGGAACGCAAGGCATATAAATACGCCGTTTCATTGATATAGATTTACCTCCTTACACTTCTCAATTAATGCTAGACGATGCAGTGGTCGTATCGTTTTGATCTAGGATATCTCGTGTTTCGTGACGTTTGTATCGGGCACGGCCTATGATCGCGCAGTTGTATCGGGCACAGCACAGCACAGCCTATGATCGCGTGTCGTTTGTATCGGGCACGGCCTATGATCGCGTAGTTCAAGAAGCCGGACGCACAGAACATATACACGACGCGGAGTAATTGCCATCAAACATACCATATACTCTCCTAAATTCTGTTACCCCGATACCTACTATATACTCACACCCCCCACCCCTAAAATTCAAATTGAAAAACACCGGAGCTGGGATGGGGTTGCCGTAGATTGAGATACCTATGACATGCGCCGAAAGTCTACGTTTTTTACCATCACTGGTGCCATTCTCTGTATGCCTAATTCAACGAATTGGCACGAGATGTTCGTAAGTTGTTTTTTTTTTTAGCTTGTGCCAGCCTCTGGCGCGTACCGGCGTTGGTTCTATGTTTAATGGTGTTGGACAAAATGGTCTGCGTGAAGCGCGTCCTGTGGCTGCTTTTAGCAGAATACGATCGTAGAAACGACGTCTGATCAGCATTTTTGGTATTTTCAATGTAACACGCTTAGACTTCCGGCTCATAGCTCCATTGGTGGGAGTGCTTGCCTCCCAACCTACTCGTGGCGGGCTGTGTGTGTTCTAGCCGCTTCGGCGTTCGCTATTTGTCCCTGCTTGGGATGACCTGCGGCCGCTAGTAGCAGCCGTTCAAGGTCAGCCCAGGTCAGAGGGCGGACGGGCCTTGCCAAGCACTGTGGCACATTGAACTTTTGCCGCAAAATTATGTCGTTGAACAGAAAATGGACGATCGGATCGTGTGGTCAGGATCGATCCCAGAAATCCATCCAATGGAAATAGTTGCTCCACCTTCATAAAAAGTTTATATTTTACCGCCCAGAATAAGTGAAGGCTTACAATTAGCACTGAATGATTTGCGATCATTTTTTAACCCAGCCCCGCCAACGTTGCTTAAACGGTTTTCATGTTGCAGAAACAGTTGCAACATTTGCTGTGAAAGCTTAAAATGTGAACGTGTATCATCTGATATTTTTTTCAACTTGCGTGCAATTTGTTCGGTGAAAATGCAATTTAAATGTAATATGTTGGATGAACAAAAAGACCCCTCAGACCTCGCCTCAGTAAAACTCTTCCGTTCGCCAACAATTGGACTCAACACACTCCCATAGGAGATCACTTCGGCTGCCACCACACAATTGGTATTGTCCTTTACCAGCACGCTCCGGTGACAACCAAAATTGTGCACAAGACCAAGGACCATCTCGGTTCAAAAATGGCTATGCTTTATACGATCTCAAATTTTAGAAAAGAATGAATAAGTTTGAACCTGTGACTAACGTAAATATAGACGTAGCTTCCCGTCATATATTCCGGATATAACGTATATATATATATATATATATATATATATATATATATATATATATAAATAGTAAGAAGCCTTTGATATGCAAAAGCAAACAACGTTTTCATCTTTTTTATATCAACCGCGTGGCATCGTCTCGTGTTTGAATTTCGATTTTATGCGTGTGTATAGCGACATTGACCCCACATATGTTTGTTGTGTTTTTGCCTTTTTGGGCTACACGATCATGGGTTGTGTCTAAAATATCCTTTACTAGAGTGTTACAAAACACACATCATTTTAATCTTCATCGCATTGTGCATTAAAAAATGTTTGTCTAAGGCGACTAAACAGACAATGAAGTACTTATCAACCTACCGAAACGGGCTTTTAGCATAAACCTGCCTTACAAGACCACACACAAATACTATAACGCAAGGCTTGAGAATATTCACCACTTCTGCGCCGTCGTCACGATGTGCATGACATCAGCCCGGCTCTGTCATTGCAGGTCAGCTGCCAGACATAGTGTGAGGGACGTGGGGGAATTTGGCCAGTCATCGCCGGTGGACTTGCGCCACAGCCGCCGCGCACGCTGGCAGCCTGTGTGTCTGCGCCGTGTTTGTGTGCCGCTACGGAACGCCACGTGCGCACAGACTATCGCACGGGCAGCGGCGGAACGCTTGACCTTGCCTCTGGCCAGCCGGTACGAGACGACCTTGCGAGACCTGACTGTGTCGAAATGATCGCGACAGGGTATCACAGGCACCGAGGCTTGTAGAGCCACCGGTGGACAGTTAGCACGAGGTTTAAAGTTTTTATGCACCTGAATGTTTGTATCTTGATGTGTTCTGATGCCTTCCAGACTGAGTCAGTCTCGTGCTTGACTCACGGATGGAGTCATTGAAGGCCTCGTAATCAAGGAAAGTTTTGCTGAGGGCATGTGAAATCTTTTTTTGAGGGTCGGGTTCGGGCACCCATCCCAACCATCCGTGAATCGGCTTAAGCAGAATCGTATGCGCGAACACATATTGATAGTCATGATAACATGGTCATAATATGACATATAATTGCAAATTATATATACATAGCTTCGATAGTAATATATACATATTTATATCACATGCGAAATCATCTTATATATTACAGCTTCTATATAATTTCAAAAAAGCCAGTAATGTCATGTGGAGACCAAACTGAGGAGTCATGGGCATCTATTATGCTATCAGAATAAATAGCATATGCAGGCTTCTGTAAAGCCCACAGAACAGTTTAAATCGGTGTTATCGCAGAAATTGACCTCCTCAGAACCAATGCCAGACTCCAGCCATTTATTCCTTGGTCGGGATCGGGGTGGACTCAAAATTGTATAGCACTCCTCAGGGTCGGAGACACAATGAGCCGCGTGCGTTGCGAGTTAAAGTCAGGACCTATTTCACTGAAGGAGAATCAAGCACAGCGCTGCAAAGGGAATACGAGAAACGAAAGCAGAAATTTTACAAATAGCAGCATGGTACATTAGCGTCCTCGTTTTGTGCATGGGTGCTACTCTTGGACTGCATGTTAACATACATCTCTCAACTGGGAAGTGCAGCAGAGCAGCCCTGCATGGTACTGGTGTGGTCTAACTTGGCGACTTGTCGTTAGCATGTATAACGCCTAACTTAAGACACGAATAAAGAATGAATGTTATTCTGTTGTTTTGAACGATGCTTACGCTCCTTTCCGACGTGGGAAGGCTTGCACCCTATGCATGTTGGTGTCTATGTATTCTGATAGCGTCTTTTGGCTGAGTTATTGGGATAATGAAACGGCGAAGGGCGAGAAGAGCCGCCACCATCCAATCTGCTCGTGAGCAGCTAAGTAGCATCACAATCCGATGGGGCTAATTTTGAGTCTTCATTGGAGATCTACGAATGCTGAGACTATATGATGTCGCGTGCCTCTCGCCCTGGCGACAAGGACGGCTGTTGCGGGGAATCAAGCCCTGAATCTGTGGTTTCCCAGGTCCGCAGCTTGACTACCTCTCTACCGGCACCCTTCCTTTTTGAGCAGTGCAGGCTACAATGGGGACTCAAACGACCATTGTGTCCGCAAACCAACCATACATTCTTCGTTACACAAGCTGGAGACCTATTACTTAGTTGGGATGGTCTCAAATTTCCCTCTCTCTTTTTTTATTTAATTACTCAAACTTCACGCGACATTGGCGTCTGATCTCCGGCGGAAGCTTTAGACGCAGGCTAAAATGTCCACAGACCAGCCGCCATGTGCGCATGGCATCTGATTGAGCCACTTGTGCCGGAGCAGTCATATCCCTATGACTAACACGTCCTGCACCTACGTTTCAATTCAGTGAAAGAGCGGCATTTGTGCCAGTGTGGCCAGTCGTGTCACCATTGTCGGGTCTTGGACTGCGGGATGTGAAGCCGAAGGTTGGTGTGTGCAGCGCGCCGGCGCAGAGCCGGGCCGCGGCGGTGCTCGCCGGTCCGACCGCGGCGCGTCTGCGCCCCCGCCGCGCCGGCCGGCCGTCCACTGACACGGCGCCCGTCCCACGGCCGCTGACCGGCAAGCATTGACAGCAGCCAGGGTTGCGGCCAGAGCAGACACCTAAACGGCCTACTCCATGAAGCTCGTCGGCATGATTCCTGCTGCAAACAATTTGGTTCACTTGCATCTTTTTTGACGATTTCGTGACGGTGATGTTAGTCCTGGCGAAATTAAGCATGCCTCTTGGTGAATCAACAGCGAGTGCAGGCACTTAAGTGGAGCAAAACCTGCAATGTCAGTTACGCATCCGCATGCTTTTGACGAAGGGCCACAAATCGCAAGCGAACCGGACTCGCTGACCACGTTTGTCGCACGTGCAACGAAAACAAACGCCGAACGTTGTCAGCCGCTCCGCTGATAGACCAGGAAAAAGTGAAAGCGCCCCGCACGGCCGGCGGCAGCTTGCCCGAGGAGGGGAGGACCGCTGAGAGCCGTGCCACCACGCGGTCACGGTGTGAGGCTCCGGGTCGATTGTCCGGTCGGCCCGCCGCTGAGCTAGCCACTCGGGACAAACACGGCACGACGCGGGGCGAGCACAAAAACGGACCGCGCACTGGGGTAAAACGGAGGGAGAGGTCACCAGGGGTGGGATGATGTTTTGTGGCGACGGCTTGCGCAAGGATGGGGTGTTCTGTCTTAATGCATTGCTTAAGCAACGAGCTCCACTGATGGTAAAGCAACCTGACGGCGATGGCATTCACGGCCGCAGGCTTGGCGTTCGCCTGGGGCGGAACCTTCGGCTTCAGCTAGACGTAAGGACGGGGTCATAGCCTGCCGATCACGGTGACTCGGTGTTTGCCCGCGCCTGCTGTACACCTGAACAATCCTGAGCACTGCACAGGATGACAAATGTGCCAGCCATTCTTACTTCCCTGTCAGCAAATTGGTTTTGATTGCCCGTGGTCGCACGGTTTGTTCCTGGAGAGTGTGCAGTCTACTGCGCCATTTTAATAAGAGGCACGGGCAATGGTATAGCTTATGGTCTACTGCTCCCAAGACTCGCGAGTCCAAAATACGGTGCAGTCGTTTGTTCCGGTTAGGTGCCCGACGCAATCAGCACCGGCGCCAGCCAGCGGCGCCTGACGCACGCAAGGTCACCGGCAACCTGAGTTGGCGTCTTTTTCACGCAGTCACGAAGGCTGAGGTTTTAGCAGGCAGCAATGCTTTAAATGTCGTGTCCTTCGGCACGGCGGACGTGGACGTGGATGTCGTTAAATGACGTTTCCTTCCGCCCGAAGACAGAATGCTGAAGGCAATCGATACGAGTCATGACGTGTTAATCGGTATACCTGGCGTGGTAATAGGCTTCCGTACTTGCAGGTCGTGGATATCCGCCATGTTTTATGATAACGTCGTAGTATGCAGTTCTATTTTTCCAGACGCCAACCCACCGAGAAGCCGCAGATTCTTACAGCCCAAATAATCACAATCGAGTCCCCTTTGTTTCCAGCCCGTCCACTGCGCATGACTGCATCCAGTTTTTTCCCATATAACCTTCTCTCAAACACGCCCTGTTTATACCCTCAGTATCATCGATGTACTTATCGGGTGTTGGTGCCGGCTCGGTGCGTTGTGCTGCTGGCGCGCGGCCCAACAATGGATCGTCACAAGGCTCGCGTGAACGTGCACCTTAGCTGTCCAAAGCGCATGGCAGTGGCCACCGAATGACTATATCCTTCATCTCTGTCACCTAGATCATTGTGATGCGCCCTCCCACTTTCGCAACATGAAACGTCATGGCGTACCGCCCAACGTTGTTAAAAGCTTGTCCGCCATCTTGACAGCTCTCTTCTTCCACTTTAGCACTACGAGTACGTCTCAGCACAAAATTGTAAAAATGTTCAGGCGTCCCAGATTTATTCTTGTCCTGAAAATTAAACAAATAAAAACTGCGTACTTTGGCGTTCACCAGTATGGCGTTCAGCCATAATCTTTTTGAAAACGCACCGCCAATCCAAAGTAGTACTCTTTATTGTATATTATATTTAATCTAAAGAAATACTCACCGTTGTCAGCTCCCTAAACTTCCAATGTACAATGGCACGTGCCATTCAGATACGTCGCTAGAACCCGTGGCATCAAGTTCACGACTCCTCTGCCAGCCGCAGCAGTGACGGGCGTGCCTTCGGCAGGGTGTTACCGCCTGCAGCGCAGGGACCAGCGGCTGGAGAACCACATCCTGCAGGTGATCCGGTCCCGCGAGCTTCGCGACTGCGAGGAATCCTGCAACCGCGACCGCAGATGCGTCTCCTTCAACTTCAGGTGAGCCGAGCTCGGCACCCTCATTCAGCGCACTGAGAAAGACTTGCAAAACGGTGTGAAGAAAAGGCTGGGGCTCCAAATGCATCTACGTCAGGTGGCGCGAAAACTTGCGCGCGTTTTTTAAAGCGCCCAAGTTGTAAAGAACCGGCACGTGTTGCCCTATACGATATGCGTATATCCGTCTCAATCTGGGAACCTGACGCGACTTGCGAGCTATCTTGTATTCTATCTGATATGCGTGCATCTGAATCCATCCAGTCATAATTAAGCATAGTATAAAAGACCAGACATTGCCTTAGCTCCTCTTCTTTCAAATGTAGTATCCTTTTTCACTTCAACGTACCTAAATCTGGCGAGGATTGAAACCAGTGTGCGGAAATAGGTACCCCCATGCATTGTGAACGAGCAAAACTGGTCCCCACTGATACATATGATTCCACGCTGGCGTGGAAGCCCAGATATCACGCTCTGCCTCGACCGCGAGAGTGTCGGGAGCTCCGACCTGGCTCCGTGGTGACGTCATCGACCCGTGCGCCGCCAGGAGCGACCCCGTGGAGACGGTGTGCGAGCTGACTGACATGGACAGCTACGCCAGCTACGCCCAATTCCGGCCGATCGCCGGCTGGGACTTCTACGAGAAGGACGCCTCGTCGTACTGCTCTGGCTGGGACAACGGCTTCTACGACTCCCAGAACTTTGGCTACGCTTGTGAGTATGGTTCGGCTCATTACTGCTGCGGCGCGTCACGCATACTTTTCCGAAACGCCAGGGTGACGGCGGGCTTCAAATTAAGTCTTAAAGAATATACTACTGATGCTTGTTCTGAGCGTGCCAAGGCTGTTCTGTGACGTGAGTAATCGCTGGCAGACGATAATAACAAATTTTATATATATATATATATATATATATATATATATATATATATATATATATATATATGTATATATATATATAAAGCCCAGATATCACGCTATCACGAGACCATATTTTATATATATATATATATATATATATATATATATATATATAGCAGGTATATACAAAGTAGTAAGTATACGTAAGTAGGCATATACTAGGTGTACCAGAAATCCCATGACCCCTAAAATATGAGACAAAGTCTCATAATAGATGTTTCTGATCTTAGAAGGTCGAAGAAAAATATTTTGGCATTGCTTGAAACCACGTGAAGCATTGTTTCGGGCTGGCGCCAATTGTTTGTTAGGAACCTTGTGTTGCTCGCTGTAATTGTGGAAAGAAAAGCTGAACCATGCCGAGCGAGTTGCACATTTTATGAACAGAACGAAGAAGTAGGGAGTACTCTGAATGTATGACACTGTCCTGCAAGGCCTCTCTAAACAATGTATATAAATGCAAAAAATAGAAAATGGGGTGCAATGAAGCGGACGTAAGCACACAAGGTTCCACTTCAAGTATCATGCATAATAACAATCAAACATATTTTGGTCAAGTATGAAGGCATTTTGTCTCTTTCATGGCAATGATAGTCTCCCAAGCTTTATCACAAATTTTAGGGGACGTGCGTTAGGTTCGGACAGGTTGATATTGATCGCTGGCACCATAAATGCTTCCCTGTGTGAAATCAATGTATCTCAATCGACGAGTTCCGTCCACTCTCAGTCCACAACTCGCATTTATGGAGTGAGTAGGTCTCACTCGACAGCCCACCGTGAGGGACACTCATCTGTTGCGACAGTCCCGTTCTACGCACAGCCGGTTCCGCTCGCCAAACGGCGGCGGCGCGTCACGAGCCGTGACGGCAGGACGGCGCGCGCCGTGACCGGCGGCCTTGGCCCGGCGGTCATGCCCGGTGGGCGACCTCGCTAACGTGGCGGCCGCGCCCCGCAGACTGCTCGCTGCGCGTGCGAGACAACACGCTGCTGAACGTGAACGCGGTACGGCGAGACATCACGGCGCGCAGTCTGGCCGAGTGTGAGCAGGCCTGCCGCGACGAGCGCAACTTCCGCTGCGAGACCTTCTCATTCGGGTCAGTGCCGGGTCATCGGGTCAGTGCCGGGTGCCGAGCCGGCGCGCTCCGAAACGCTGCGCCACACATACTCATGCAGCGCATTGGCCTTAGCATGACCTATGGCACCGTGATTGTGTGTGGGAGTATCACTTTGTGTCCTTTAACTGTATGTACACTAGGTACCTGATCGCATCACTATCAATTTGATCATCAATATCGCCATCACATTGGCTTCAAATGGACGTTCCTTATTCCAGTTCATTCCTTAACATAAAATTATTTTGGAACAGGCTAAACATTTTTATGTTGCTATCAGGTGCGCGTATCAAGGTGGCCAAAACCAGGAAATAAATCAGGATCGGGGGTAGGTTAGCCAGCTATATTTGCTCAGCCTCCCCCGACTGATTTTAGAAAGTGACACCCCTGCTTGTGTCGCACAAGCAGAGCGCCCTTCGCGCCATGAATGAAGGACCTCGAGCAACTGACGGATATTGTATCCAGACATATGTTCCTGGAGGCCAAGGACGCATAAATGATCCCATAGCGTCCCACGTTTATGGGATTCTGGGATAGGACTTTGAGATTGTATCCCGAGACCAGATCCTGAGATCAAATCCTGAGATCTTTCGGGGTAGGGTGTGGGGGGTCTCGCGGCACATGTCTGCTTTGTAACATAGTGATAGAACTACCCGCCTGTCACCCCTCTAGCTCTGCTTCTAACTCGTAGTCCCCCACACGACGTAACGGAGCTTTTATGGTAACGCCCCCAAAGCGCGCCCGTCAGGGTATGGACCGTTGCCTTGTCGAAGGACAGGCTCCGCTTGCCGCAACGCTTTACGACCCGTCAGTTCTAGGCCGCGCACAGGCTGTTTGCTAATTACGGCGGTCCTGCTGAACGCTGTAGCTCCAAAAACCCACATGGGCTCCCTCGTTCGGGCAGGAGTGTGACTGATAGCAGTAATACACCATCTCCTAAAGACAATATGCGGAACGGATCACAGGAATGGTAAGAGCGCCCGTCCCATCGCAACGCGTCGGGGCGGGCCCACACACGAAACCCACCCTCCAAACACGCTGACAACGCCCTCTAGCTCCCGTAATCTCGCCACTGCCCACGGCGGCGCCGCGCGCGCCCGGTGACGCCGACCCGACGCGTCGCCAGGGTGCTACCGGGCGGGCGCGCCTTCTCCTGTCACCTGACGGACCTGCGCATCGGCGAGCTCTCGCCGCGCGACATGGAGCCACGCGCCAGCTTCGAGATCTACGACTTCCACGGCAACGGACGCGAGTGCGACCGGCCCAACGACCAGTTCGACTACAGGTCAGTACGACCGGCACGACTACAGGTCAACACGATCAGCACGGCTACAGATCAGTACCACCAGCACGACTGCGGGTCATTATGACCAGCACGACTACAGATCAGTACGACCAGCAAGGTTGCAAATCAGTACGACCAGCACGACTGCAGGTGAGTAAGACCAGCACGACTAAAGGCCAGTACGACCAGCACGACTGCAGGTCAGTACAACCAGCACGACTACAGATCAGTACGACCACCACGACTACAGATCAGTGCGACCAGCACGACTACAGGTCAGCACGACCAGAAGGACTGCGGATTAGTCCATTGGCGTGTCAGCCCCGCCGGCAGCACGTCCAACCATCTGAGCTCTGTCCCAGTGTGACCGTTCGCCGACACGCGGTGCTGTTTGTGACGCCCCCGAGGCTGGCCGCCCCGCCGGGAGCAGACGAGCCGTGCCGTGTGTGATGACCCACGCCTGGGCCCGGTAGGCACGGCCACCTGGAGACGTGTTCGGGCCGGGCGTGTGCGCGCGGTCCGTGCCGGATTGACCGCTCCGGCGGCTACTGGTACTGCTTCACCGACAACAACGAGGCCGTCTGGGACTACTGCTGCGACCCGGACAGTCCCTGCCAGGTCGATCCCCACATGGCCATGGAGACGTACGTACAACGGCACCCATTGGGAGCAGAGCACGCGGTTCCTTATCCGCATGTGAGGGCGGATAGAGAACGCGCATGAGCGCTCGCCTATCAGGGGAAGTTGTCCTAGGCATGTCGTCTCATCGCGCCCAAATCGCGCAAGGGATGCAGTAGCTTACGACAAAGTTGTGAATCTTTCACGGCGAGTTCCTACCATTCAGTCACACTTGCTCATGGTTTTTCGGTCATCTGGGAATCGCTGGGGCCGCCTAGCTGACCTCTGTGCTTGTTTTAACGCGTCGATCGCCCTGCGCAGAAGCTGAGTCAATGTCGATCACCTGGCTAGCCGGTGCGTTGTACCCTACAGGTGCCACGTGACCCAGCGGCGCGGGCTGTACCGCAATGCCGGCCTGGACACAGCCTGGCGGCCTTGCACTTACCGACAGAGGTACGCCTACCTCACGCGCAACTCCACCGATCACATTGTGGACGACGTCAACACGACCGCCACCGACGTCGGCTCGGTAGCCGGCACCGCTGCAATCAACAACCAGCTGCTGGAGACCATTGACCTGGAGCGCGAGCAGAGCAAGGACAAACACTAACCGAGCCCGCGACGGCCGGCCCGACGGTAGCGGCATTATATGTATAGTACACAGACTGAGGACGGCGCAGACCTCGGTCGGCTACGGCAGAACCCGTGCTGCCATCTAGCGAAAGCCGCGGGAAGCTGTGGTGGCTAGCCCGTCCCCTGCGTGGATTGTTACGGTTACCGCGAGTCTGCGAAACGCCAAAGAGACGCGCGTCATAGCCATGTGTATGCTTCTTCTGGTGGCGGCGATCAGCACCCATTCTTGCGTATTGGTGTCTATCTCACTGAAGGTTTTGCACTCAGAGATTTGTCCGCGCGAGGTGTCTGTCGTGACGGCCACGCATGCGACGCAAGCTGGGAGGCAACGGCGTGCCGTGGCTTGGACGGCGCGCCCCTCCCGTGTATCCCGTCGCAAGGCCCGAGGCCACGCGCCAGCCTCCACGCTGGCGTGTGAATGCCTAATGGTCGCGACACAGAGTAGCGTTGACGTGGTGAGATGTACGCGAACTGCTTCACAGCAGGGATCGACAGTCGGCAGAAATACAGCTCATCAATCATTCGCCGTCGACACTTCTGAGACTTGATCCATCGCTCGTTACCGGCCGGCGCTCGGTGGGGCGGCACACAACCAGGCATGAGGCGGGACGCCATCTGAGTCACCAGATCTGATATGCTGTGAACAACTTAAGACGTGTTGAAGATAAGAGCTTCAAACATGTTCGGCGTTCTATCTAGCAATACTTTTGCAGTATCGTTCTTTTCACGCTCCATTAAGCGGTACGCACAGTTGTCTAGTACGGTGCGTTCGAAGCCCAACGGATCTGCAGGTGGCTGTCATGGGTCTGCCGCAGTCAAAGAGAATAACTGTACCTCTCGACATAAAATACTTTGGAACAGTAGTCCGCCTCGCAAGCGTACGGGAAAGAAAAAAATAAACAGGTAACAACACTATCTGGAGGGTCGGGAGCATGCAAAGCATGCAATGCGCTGAGATGTCTTCGGCATTACAAAAAGGAGCCGAGCCCATGTTTCTAACCCCGGCTGCGAACTCGAACGACGTGTGTCCGATTCCTTCGTTTATCTCGCCTTGCTCTTTGTCTTTTTGGAGCGGGTTGAGAGGGTTGGCCTGAGAACTAAGAAGCACTTGGTCACAAAACGCTGAGTATCACGTACACTTTAGTGATTCAGTTTCCTGTCAGCATGATATCATGTGGTCCCGCCTTTCATATCTTATTCATCATTCATGTGACAACCTGGTCACAAGCACTTTTCCCAGCTGTACGAATACTGCGCACTATCCAACTGACCATGATGCATTCAAGTGCGCTTGCTTGGAATTAACGTCCCCAGAACGAGCTAAGACTCTAAGGCTGAAGGCCCATGAGAAGACGACCGCTAAGGCAGCGCTGCGACGGACCGCCTACTCGGCTCGGCACTGCTCCCAGTCGGGCCAGTACTTGTCCTTCATACGCTCGTGGTACTGAATGAGAGCGCCGTGGCTGCTACGCACGTAGCGCTCGACCTCCGGCGCACAGGCGTAGATGACTTGGGTCAGCTGGGCGAACACAGCCGCGGTCGTACGTGGTCGGCGTGCTGTCCAGCAGGAACGGCTTGTCGCCCAGCACATCTTCCAGCGCCGCAGCTCGCGACGCAGGAAAAAACATTGTCTCCTCCTCGCTGAAGCGGCCCATGCCCACAGTATAAAAAAATTTCTTCATCGCCGAAAAGAAGAAGAGGGTTAAGATAACAAGCAGAGCTCGATACTTCTTGGGGACGCATTTTACCATGTAACAGCCACGGTCGAGGACGTAGCGCTTGTAGAATACAGCCAAGGCAGTGTGCTCGTCGAGCATCACCTGAACGGCACGCCCCACGGCATGCTCTGCTGGCGTGAGCTTCTCCTTCAAACGGCTTCCCGAAGTGTTGCGTCAAAACATCGATGATAGCTCCGAGTCGGACAGCTCCTGTCCGTTGAAGGTGATCCAAGGACACTTATTACGTGACCCCTGTGGCTCTTCCGTGTCCACCACGTACTTGATGCCCGCCATGCGCAGGAACGTCTCCAGCTTGAGCGCGAACGGCGATAGGTTGGGACAGTTGGTGCCACGTTCAAACTGGTGCAGCACCACCACGTCCTTCCCGGCCTGGTTCCAGCGCTGCCGGCGCTGGTAGCGCCTGTAGCGGCCGTACACTTTGAGGCCGATGCCGAGCA